AGTGGTTTCTTTCAGTCTGGCTTTCTCGCCAATATATATATATATATATATATGGACAATAGCATTAAATATCAACCATATTACACTGTATCGCTCTGTAAATTTATGTTGCTAATACAAATATAAGTCAGCCTACATGTAATCCATTTATTAATATAGAAGCTATGAAAGAACAACACGCATGCACGCTACTGTAGAGCTGTAACCCATATATTAATGTCGTGACAGAGTTTCACGGTGTGCCATAAGCCAGGAGTGTGCTTGCAGCCATTGCAATCTACGAGTATGGTTATAATTCTGTGGAAGCCATAAATCAATTATAATCTTTCACGCCACTGTAATCCATTTAGTATTTATATGATTGCACGCCAGTGAGCCATGAGTATAGTCTCATTGTCGGCTATATAATTCATTGCATGTTCTTTGTCCAATAACGCTGTTAATTTCATGGTCATCCGGTTTAGAAAACCGAGATTAACAGCCTTGGGGATCCGTTGCGCTAACCACGTGACACCCTCTATCGGCAAAAGTTGGCACTAACTTCGCCGACAAGCGGCGGTCGCTCGGTCGGTATAGTTCGCTTGCAGACTACAGACCACGGAGTGTTTTGTTTTTAATTTTATGGCCATCTTCATTAACGGCAAGGTTTAGACCCTTTGACATGTTCCAATTTTCGGGTTAGAATAACAATCCATCTTTTTGGTGACCTCTCTCTCTCTTTCTTCCTTCAGAATGATCATCATGCACATTCAGAGGAATCCAATTAGGTGGAAATTTTAAAATGTGTTATAAATGTTTCTGTTTCGATTCTTTTACTTTTCCTTATAAGTTAATAAATTTTTGTTCCTCTAGGCCGCGCCATGGCTTAAGCGGTAAGTCGCTGGCTTCCCGCCGTTGCGGTCCGGGTTCAAGCCAGTGTCTGGTCAAGTGGGATTTGCGGTGGACAAAGTGACGCTGGAGGAGGTTTTCTCCGAGTATTTAGGTTTACCCTGCCAATCTTCATTCCACCAAATCCTCCATCATCATAATCACCCAGGGTAGGCTACAATAGGCCAATCAGTGGCTGATGTGCCGAGTTGACCCAGCTGGACTCCACCCCTCACTAAGTGAATTAATTCAATGATTCTGTTTTTGCGTCTTCTTTAGTCTGCCGCTTATATCAGGATTTGTTCAGTTGAATCTGTTGTTTCGTTCAAGTCCAGCATTTGGTGCCATATAAGGAAGACGGTACTGTTAGAACTTTTTAGAATTTAGAATTGTCTTACTTGAATTTTGTCTAGTAAAATATGTTTAACGGAGAAGATCATGGAGGTAGGTCTAGGCCTACTGGGGCTGTAGTGCCAAGGAAAAAAAGTATGTTTAAACCGGTCACGGTAGCCGAGCGGTCTAAGGCATGTACTGTATTCACTCGCTTGGAAACCGGGATCGTGGGTTCGAATCCCACTCCGGGCATGGATGTTTAGTTTGTGTGTGTGTTTTTTCTGTGTTTGTGTACAGGTAGAGGCCTTGCGACGAGCTGATCACTCGCCCAAGGAGTCCTACCGAATGTGTAAGATCTAGAAAAACCGAAGTGAACGGAGAAGTTCATGGAGGTAGGCCTAGGCCCACTGGGGCTGTGGTGCCAATGAAAAAAAAAAGTATGTTTAATTCTTCTACAGAGACAATTATATTTTTATAATTTATTTTGTAGATCATAATTTATATTACTGCCCAACTGGAAAATTGTCTCTTTGAGAGAAGTTATTAATTAAATTTTGTATGGTAAAAATCTTATGATGGAAAGCGTTTATACTCGTAAAGATATATCTCTGAGTGCGCTCTTTAAGCATGAGCTAAGCCTTCGATCCCAGTCAGTTTCATTGCACTTGGTTATGACTTTGCTGTGTCATAACTTCGTCTCTCCTGAAACATCCAAGGAAATTGTGAATGAACCGAGAATGACTAGCACATGTTCTGCGTATTTGCTTCGAGTTTGGAATGTCTACAGTCACTTCGACTTTGATCTCGTTACTTCGTTCTTCGAACCACTACAGAGAAATCCATTCCGAACCGTACCCTAAAGAGTAAACACTGCAAATGGCACTTAAGTAGAAAGCAATACAAACCAAACTACAAACATCGAAATAAAGTCATTGCACATAATTTCTCATATAATCTTAAGAGATCACAGCCTCTCTACTATCCTAATATAAATATTTCAGAGAGATTACTTGTTTGAAATACAAACAATAGTTTAATCCCGAGGAAGATCCGGGCTGAACGACTGAAGGGCGGAGTTCGAGTCCCCGTAGGATTAAGAATTTTCTCTTCTCTAAATCGTCCAGACCGACTCTGGTGTCAACCCAACCTCCTATCCAATGGGTACCGGGGGATTTTCCCCGGGGGTTAAGCAGCCGAGGGGTGAAGCAGACCATTCACCTCCAGCTAGTGTCGAGGTCAAGAAAATGCGGATCTATACATCCACTCCTCCATTAATTTTCATGGCGTAGTGCTTAATTAGTTAAGCACAGGAACAACTTTACGTTTTATAATCCGAGGAAACAGCCCCTAGAGAAGTTTGTTACTGTTTGTTACCTCACGAGAAACAAGATAATTAGCGTCTTATTTGGGGGTATCGGTACTGGAATTCGGCGAAATTCAATCAATATCAAGAGTTCTATATTCTGGAATATAGCGCCGTATAGAGAAACTCAAATTCTATATAATCATTATCATTATACAGTCATTTAAAAATTATTGTTATTCTGTTAGGGACCCATTTTTCGAATCCCTTTACTTTAAGGTAAATAATAGTTGAGTCTCATAACTTGTACTCTTCTCCAAGTATAATTAGAATGATCATGGCAAGGAGGATGAGGTAGGCAGGGCATGTAGCACGAATGAGAGAGACGAGGAATGCATATAGGATATTGGTGGGAAAGCCAGAAGGAAAGAGACCACTGAGAAGTCCAAGACGTAGGTGGGTGAACAATATTAAAATTGATCTTAGAGAGAGAGGATGGGATTGTATGGATTGGATTGATCTGGCTAAGGATAGGGACCAGTGGAGGGCTCTTGTGAACACGGTAATGAACCTTTGGGTTCCATAAAATGCTGAGAAATTCTTGAGTAGCTGCAGAATTGGCGGCTCCTAAAGAAGGGCTCAGCTCCATGAGTAAGTAATGTACTAATAGTTGAGTCCACTGCCTCTAAAATGATTCAAATTTACTCAAATCTGTTCAAACCGTCTTGGAAAAAAATTACATTTCATTTTGTTCTTCTATATGGCGTACCAATATGTACCAACAGCACGGGTTTATTTAGGTGGGGAGGGGCGCTATAAACTATTGAAATTCAACCGAAATCATTGTTTTCCATAAAATCGGAATTTTCTGTTTGGGTACCCCTATGAAGAGACACTTTTTTGAGCTTTGATGTCCATATTTACCGAGTATTGACCTATGAACTTTGCATATCGGATATGACTAGGTTCCCTCCAACTGTTCAGGGACCAGCTTCCTATCCAGTGGGTATCGGTACCCTTGGGCGTCAAGCTGACCACCCACCTCCATGCAGTTTCGAGGTTAACTGTGGTGCTCCTATTCCTCCACTCCCCCATATGCCTTCATAGCATAGTATTTAATTAATTAAGCACAGGGACAACTTATTCGGAACTTATTTTTTTCGTGAACGTAATATGGTTCAGTAGTTCAATAAAAGGTAACAAAATGAGCAGGACTGAAATATGTAACAGATAAACATTGGCCTTGCGAAAGATCAGATAAGTTTAGTGATGGCACATAGATAACAGACGTACATAGGAAACTGTGTATTTAGAAGATGGTCTTTGTTACGCTTATAATATTTCCTCACATTTCTTACTGTTCCTTGTACAGTTCTAGCAGTTCGATTTAAGGTTCGGCCACACAGAGCGCTACGTAAGCTATGTTCGCTATACGAACAGAAAAATATCTCCCTTTATTGCCTATGTGACTGGCCACACAGACTTCCGTACGCTACGTACGCTACGTGCGCAATGTCCCTATGTTAGCTGCGTTGCAGAGTGTACACAGCGTGGCGCTCTATGTGGCCGAACCTTTATTCAGTGTTATTGTTTTCTTTTGTTCGGGGAATCACAGAATTCCCAACAGAAAGTTGTCAGATTCCTGACAGCTGACATATATCGGATTTACAACCCGTTTCTTGCGAAACAAAGAATAAATATACAAAAAAAAAATAAAATAAAAGAATAAAAATTTCACTGCTAATTATTAAAAAGTAATACGAACCGGAAAATGCTAATACAATACGTAAAATAATATATCACATATATAACGATTATGCTTATTTGAAAGAAGAACATATTTGCCATAACAGGTGTAATGTCTTTATTCACTTTTTATTATCTGATCCTAAGTCCCCGAAACAAAAAGCAAACTCCATGGCTTGAGTCCGCAAGCGAATTATACCGACAGAACGACCGCCGCTTATAGGCGAAGTTAGTGCCAACTTTAGCGGATAGAGGGTGTCGTGTTATCAGCACAACGGATCCCCACGACCGTTAATCTCGATTTTCTAGCCCACTAACCGCTATTTCCTTGAAGAGCTCCTCAATTATCCTCACGAGAATGAGTGGACCCCGTTCCAGACCCACTACTTCTCAGAAAATCTGGTAGCGCCGGGAATCGAACTCGGAACCTCTGGATCTGTAGCCAGGAAGTCTGACCACTAAACCACAGAAGCGGTACCTAAGTCCACGAAATGTAAATAAAAATAGTATAATCTAAAAATCAGTATTAATCGAAGAATTGCAACTTGAAATTTTTGAACCAGAATTTGTGGATTTACAAAGGGATATATTCCGCTTCTTACAAAGAAAAAATTCTTTTATGAATAGCAGATGCGATGTTTGTAACATTCATATCTGGGAAAGCCTGAGGAAACTTCGGGGAGTAGATAGATTCTGAACATATCCACACATAAAGGAATTTTTAAAATTAACACAATTTTATCGTCTTCAGGAGGATGTGGCCGAGACGATGGTCGTCACGACGGAACCCAAGGCGTCGTTGCTGACGTCATCATGAGGAGGTGTATGCAGAGAGGAAGATGAGGAACCTCCTGGCTCTCATGTGGATCCTGTTCATATCAGGTACTTATCCGTACGCATGTTTCCAGCGAAGCCCCACAAGGGATCAACTTAAAGTAATGAGTTCATTTCAGTTAGATAGTTGTTAGTCCCATTGCCATAGTGGGTCACGTGTGTTAATCCAGCACTCGGGCCTTCCCCTTCGTGATTCAATTAAGATATCATTATACGGGCGTAGTTTCTTTGTGGCTGCCTTGTCATCCCATTCGCGGCTTCTACTCTAAGATACATATCTCATTATTATCCTCCGTGCTGGTAGCGTCTGGCTGTTGGGCCTACATGTTGGGGTCTGAGGTCCTTGCCGCATGAGAGTGACGTATTTTTTATTGCTAGTGGGGTGGGACTAAGTCCCTTGTACTGCGGCCATTTCTGGCCTATTGTACCAGCCCCAGATGATAGGTGAGGGTGATTGTGGAGCAATTGGTGGAATGAATATTAGCAGGGGAAACCGAAGTACTCGGAGAAAACCTGCCCCAGCGCCACTTTGTCCGCCACAAATCCCACTTGATCGAACCCGGGCCGCCGCGGTGGAAAGCCAGCGACTAACCTCTTGCGCTATGGCGCGGCGAGAGAGACGGTTAAATCTACCTTGGCTTTTGTATACGTTGGATAAAGGTAAAGTTATTTCTGAATTTGTTTGCGGTTTATTTAATGGTACTGTTAGTAAATCAGGCTACATATACACGAATGTCAAGACTATTAATGAGTGAGAAGTTGGAAATATTTCGAACGAAGAGGTGGTTGTTTGTTTCGAGATTCTGTCCTGGGATTTACTATGAAGGAGTAACAAAAACCACGAAGCAATTCAGTCAGAATAGCCGGTGATTCTTCCGAGATTCGAACCGGATATCGCACCTATACAAGTTGCAATTGTTGCCATCCGAGCCAACACGCGCCCTAACTGACGTGACAGATTCTTCGTGGGTTTCCATAAGTTTTCATTCTCAAGTGTTCAGGTTTTATTCCACAGATGGCACTAGTGATAGATAACTACATGTCTTCACAAATCGTTTCCATATTTCTTTGTACTGGTGCTCATGCACTTGGGTTTGTTGGCTAGGTTTGTAGCACACATTCCTGCCTCCTTTTCTATCCTAGTCCCATGCATGTGTGTGTTCTATCACAATTTTTATTTCATATTTTCTTGTTATCTCCCGTCGAATTAGCCTGATCTCAGGTGGTTAAATAGCTGTGTAAATCTGACAGGGGTTGTTCAGTGATTAGTTTTTTCTAAGAGGCCAAATTGTCTCTCTTCCCCCCTCACCTGAGGACGGACATAAATCCAATTTCCGAAACGTCGTGTTTTATATTTTCTAGAATACCGGAAGACGGAGAAAATCCCAAAACAGAGTAATTATATGTGTTACACCCCATCGTCCGAACCCTTTAAAATATAACTAAAACTACGTAAATGATTAGCTACTGCGTAGCTAACTGACTAGCCACACAGCCAACTTGCGAAGTGCCGCACCAGCTAAGTAGCTAAGTGCGTACCCAGTTAACCAGCATTATTGAACAGAGGCAGTCTTGATATTCGCGTGGACAGGTAGAGAGTGTCCGAACCTCTAACGGAACCAGAAGCCTCATTACCATAGTCTGCCTAAACCGCCGTTGGACCGAGCGGTCGGACATGTTAAAAAGATGCCCCTTTCGAACTTCGTCCAGAACTATACTGAATGAGGATTTTTATGGTTTTACACAGTCCCTCCAGACGAAACCGGGATGGTACCATGAAGTAGATCATTAATGTTTCTTTCAACATCCCGTGCAAATCATCATTAAATATCCTACATTAAAAGGCAAAGCTATCCCTGTAACAGGCCGTGGAGGCCCATAGGATTGTGAGACGTCGAGGTTCATACATTATCTAGATAATCGGCCCACAGATGGCGGTAAATTTATCATCCTTACGCACCGGCCGCTCTTTATCTCCAGAAAGATTTCTGGTACTCGTTTCTGTTAGAGGCTGAGTCGACCCCAGGGCCATAGTGCAGTTGAAAAATTAGATCAATTGAAAAATCCAGTGACCTCATAAGTACTCGAAACCTCGACCTTTTGGCTTGTAGTGTGGTGCCTCAACCAACTACGCTGTAGCGTACCCCCTAAACATCTTACATACTTATAGTACGGAGTGCTCTATTTTTAATATGGTGTCATGTAGTACAGTATAAGTTTATCAACGTTTCGGATGAATGAATTGCCTCATTCTTCATAGTAGAAGATAAGCATCTCTAGAGAACAAAACAGCAAGAAGAGAAAATTTCTTATGCGTATAAGACAGTTGGTCTTCTCATAAATTTATACAGTAATGTTTCCCTTCAGTGCTTTCCCAAATATGCTTAATGTTTTTCTCTTCTCGTGAAACCCTGAATCTTTTAAACCCCTTTCTGCAACCTTCATGTTAATGTAAACAATCAGCTTACTGCATGAGAATTGAAAGCTAACTCAGTTCGTTCCCGCTAAGTGTGGAACCCGAGTGCTCGTTGGTGTGTGTACAAGATGCAACTGCTGGATCCTGCCTCGAGCTGGGAGAATGAAGTCCCACAGGCAATCCATATTTCTATAAGATACATTTGAATATTACAGTCCCATCTACGCATAATCGATCAATTTTGTCTCTTCCCTTCAGCTTTCACGACTTAAATTTGGCATCAGTATGTCATGTCTCCCAAGCATGTTACATGCCCATCCCATCCCATCCCATCCCATCCCATACTCCTTCTTATGCATACTGTAATAATACTGGCAAAAAGTGCAAAACGCTTTGAAATTTGCTGTTTGTACAATTCTGTCTGCTCGGTCGAAGACGTGCATTATCTTCCGAATCTTGGGTTCGAATTCGACTCGGCGCACAGATGAACATAATGGGAGTTTCTGTGTTTATGTTCCACCGTACAGGTAGAGCTTTTGTGATGGGCTGATCCCCTGTCCAACGACTCCTACCAATATTCTGCCTGCAAGGTTCCGAAAACAAGAAATCTGTGAGACTTGGAACGTCTTGGTATATAAGATCATATTAAAACTCCGTGGCTTGTAGTCCGCAAGAAAACTATACCGACCTAGCGACCACCGCTTGTCGGCGGAGTTAGTACCAAATTTTGCTGATAGAAGGTGTCACGTGGCCAGCGCAACGGATCTCCAAGGCAGTTAATCTCGGTTTTCTAGACCGGAGCCGATATTCCCTTGAAATAGCTCCTCAATTATCTTCACGAGGCTGAGTGTACCCCGTTCCAGACCCACTACTTCTCAGATAATCTGGTAGCGCTGAGAATCGAAGGCGGGTCCTCTGGATCTGTAACCAGGAACACTTCTGCTCGATTAGCAGTTTATATAAATGTATTGCAAAGAGATTAAACACAAAAGGACTGGATTACAGTTTCTTTTCGTGAGAGTTGCAGAACCAAAAGGAGACACTTTGCGTTAGAAATGTTCGAAATGGATGTCTCTTTGTTCCATAAACATGTAGAGCAAATGACAGTGGAGTGACTGGTCAAAGTCTCTGTCACTTCACGTCAGATGCACATGAGTGGAATGGATGAAACTGTTGCTATGTTTGCACGCGATATTACGCCTAACAAAATTCAGTTCCATTAAAGAGTATTCAACATATTGCAACATCAATCATTTCCCAGCTCCGGAAACCAAACAAAATTGTTACACTCGCTTTTACCGCTTATAAATATATCGATGTCCTTATTTGTAGCGATATGAAAGAGTGAGCCGGTCACAGTAGCCGCACGGTCTAAGGCATGAACTGACTTCGCTCGCTCCGAAGCTGGGATCGTCGGTTCGGATCTGTTTCCTGTGAGGTACGAACTGAATTCTTATATATTATTCTTATACACTGCCGGTCACGGTAGCCGAGCGGTCTAAGGCATGAACTGTCTTCGCTCGCTCGGATGCCGGGATCGTGAGTTCGGATCTATTTCCTGTGAGGTACGAACTGAATTCTTATATATTATTCTTATACACTGCCGGTCACGGTAGCCGCGCGGTCTAAGGCATGAACTGACTTCGCTCGCTCCGAAGCCGGGATCGTCGGTTCGGATCTATTTCCTGTGAGGTACGAACTGAATTCTTATATATTATTCTTATACACTGCCGGTCACGGTAGCCGAGCGGTCTAAGGCATGTACTGTCTTCGCTCGCTCGGACGCCGGGATCGTCGGTTCGAATCCCACTTAATGCGTAGATGCTTGTGTACGTTTATTCTAGGTTTGTGTTTAGGTAGCGTCCTTGCGACGGGCTGATCACTCATCCAAGGAGCCCTACCGTCTGTGAAAAATGATTACGGAACTGAGAAAAAAGGCCAGGTCATTGAATGGGCTGGAAGATCCATTGAAAACATGACAGAATGAATTCCTGTAGTGCCCATTGTGACTGTAGTGGTTTTCGAAAACGTTCCAGAGTAAAAATATTTGGGGACGAAAGCGACAATTTGAAATCATACTCATGAACAAATTGAAAGCAAATTCAATAGAGGGAATATTTTTTATTATTCAGTTCAGTATCCCTCGTCCCCCCTAAAACGTAAATATTAAAATATACAGGCTACAATTCACCTGTTCCTTTTTATGAATGCGAAACCTGGTAACCAGTCCGCACCGGTTGGTGTAGCGTCAAAGCTGTAGGTTAGTATTATGGATGTAATTTGTTCCAATCTCAGTCAAAACACGTGTAAACTTGTCTGCTAATTTTCGTGGTTTTCCTCAGTCTTACTACGCAAATTCCGGGATTATATCTAGATTAGGACACAGCTTTTTTCTTCCAAATCCCTTTTAGTTCATCAATCGTCCTGCTGTTCGACGCTATGTATACTCGCTACTTAACACCGTCGTTAAACAAATAAAAAACCACAATCTTATTGTGAGGAAGGAAGGAGACAAATATGAAGACCTAAGAGTAGATTACAGGAAAATATTAAAGTGGGTCTTGAAGAAATAGAATGGGTTATCGTTCATGGAATTTCCTGAGTAGCTGGAGAACAATTAGTTTCTCAAGGACTCAGCTCTATGGAATTAGTTGATCAGTTAGTTAGTTAGTTGCCAGTGAGTTTCTATCAACTATGAAAGAGTATCAATGCAAATTAAACGGGCAAAACATATAGAAAGTATTTGGAAATTCTGTTTCAGGTTGCTCGGGCAACCCCGACGCTAAGCGTCTGTACGACGATCTTCTCAGCAACTACAACAAGCTGGTGCGTCCCGTCGTGAATGTGAGCGACGCACTCACAGTCAAGATCAAGCTCAAATTGTCTCAGCTCATTGACGTGGTGAGTACATCTGAAATCTACTGAACAGTAATGCTAATAATAGCCGCACTGTATGCGTTTAAAATAAGGAGATGCTTTATCCTCACTGCTTTTAACTCTACTGTTTGAAGATATTTAGACACCTAGAGAAAAGAGGGAAGTCAGACATCTGTCCAGTCGTCTGGAATATTGGAAAAAATAAAAAATGAACGAAATATATACTGTAACGTGTTTCGAGTTCGAATCTCGTCGGTCACGTGTGTAAGTTCAAATCCCACTTCTGACACCAGTGTAACGTGTCTTGAGTTCGAATCTCGTTGATCACGTGTGTAAGTCCAAATCCCACTTCTGACACCAGTGTAACGTGTTGCTGGTTATTCGGAACTAACTCGGAGGTAGCTCGAGGACTAGCTATGAATAGCCTTGTCTGCTCCTCATGTAGCCTCTATCGGACAATACAGAAAACGGCCACGTAATAAGCACCCTTGTTGCCTGGCGCTGTGTTGCTAGCAATGCTAGCGGTAGTAACCGCTGTTACTACCGTCGTCTCTCGCAATCCTGTTTACCCGCGCTGCCTAGCAACCCGCGGTACCCTTGGTGACGTCATCGCTGTTGATTCGCGTTGCATAGCGACCAGGATGCTAGGACTCGGCTAACTTCGGCTCACTTCGGCTTCGCTCGGCGCATCACGGCTGGCGGGGGGGGAGGGGCGTCATCCATAGCTCAACATGTCACAATACGTTAATATGGAAAATAAAACAGTTATGGCGAAATTATATTTCAGTATACCAATCCACAGTTCTGGGGCTGTCCAAAAAATTATTCTGAAATTGTTTAAATGCAATTTCGTAGGCAAATTATTTGGCCTATCCTTTCTTTGGAAGAAATCTAAATGCACCTTATGAAGCTCACCGAAAATCAGAAGAATTTTTTAATCTGGCATAACAGCTTTCGGTATATATTATTATTGTTATTGCGGACATAATATAATAAAGAGAGAAAGATGTTGTGGACGACCGCCTTTGTGGTCCACTGTTCAGCGTTTCTGGCTACAGATCCAGATTTTTTCTGAGAAATAGTGGAACGGGTTCCACTTAGCCTCATGATGTTAATTGAGGAGCGATTTCAAGGAAATAGCGGCTCCGGTCTAGAAAACCGAGCTTAACTGTCGTGGGGATTCCTTGCGCTGACCACGCGACACTCTCTATCCGCTAAAGTTGGCACTAAATTCGGCGACAAGCCACGGTCGCTCAGTCGGTATATTTCGCTTGCGGACTAAAATTACGGAGTTTATTTTTGTTTGTAGATGTCGTGAAATTAAGTAAGAAACTTAATCTAGAACGAAACGCAAAGAAAACTAAATATACAATTATGTCTCATTACCCAGAATAGATGAATAATGAAGTGTAAGAAACTGAAGAAGGAGCGGAGTCGATCTAAGCTCAAAGATCTTAGTTATATTGGCCAACAAGTCATTAGATATTGAACTGCTTTTCTCTTCATCACAAACCTAGAGACTTACAGGTAAAATAACCTTCTCTTCGTCTGTGTATAAAAAAATACAGGATGTTATATGTAAGATCCACAATTTACAGACTTAATATATTCTGACATGACGGCTGACAGTTGGAAGAGTGGAACAAAGAGATGCGAATATTGCTAGGCAACGGCTCCTTAAATACGTGTCCACGGCAACGAATAAACATGCAACAGAGGAGTAACTACAGTAAGCAATTATTTTATGCAAATCATGCCGCAGTTATATAGCGAGGACCAACGGAAAATTTAGTCAGCCCGTGGAAGCGGGTTCTAATGCCTCCATTAGAGCCCTGCGAGTTGTAGAAGGTGACGAAAAGGGAATCCAGTGCCCGAGCTTATAACTGGGACACCCTGTACCTGGGGGATAAACTTATGGGAACCTGGACCTCCAGGTTGGTGCGTCTGGATTCCCGTGGGAATCACACCCGAGAATGACTGCGTTGGCTAGGAACAGCAACTGTAAACGACAGATTCGACATCTCGTCAGAGAGGTCGAAATACGTAACTGTCTGACAATAATAAAAATCTAGTCTTTAGACCCCAGATGGGTGTTTGACACGGAGAGAGACTGGCCGACTCACCGTCAGTCGTGACGTAATGTCATGTGTAGCGTGGTACGCGCGACGAAAATGGCGGGTTCTAGTTCGGGTGATTGGATTTGTTAGCAGCTTGATTACAATCTCTCTTAATCACATTTAATTACAGAGCTATCGCTGATGTGCTCACTTTCCATTTCACCGTTACACACGCACTAGAATTCTCCGTCTCCTGGCAACGGATCTCAACAGAGAAACTGGCACAGTCCCACAGAGTCACACACTCCAACATTTACACATAAATAAAATCTTCAAATCACGCTTAAAATCCTCACAGTTCGACCTCCTTTATTCTTCTGTACTCCTGGTTCCAATTCCCTCTGCCGGCCTACGACTGAATTTTCCTACCAAGAACTCGCTTGCAACTCGGTCACTTAAAACTCTCTCACTGCTACTTAAAACTGAACTCTGTTCAAGCCAAAGTCACTGGGACTTGACACCAAGACTTACTGACTGATTGACCGTCAGTCGCAATGTGACTTTGACTTTTGACTGAACTCTGTTCTGTCTGGAATCTCTTTATATAGTCTCCGCACCGACCACACAGAGAATATGGCCTCTACTTTTGTAGTGTTTATCGCGACGTTTCATAGCAACGGTCGAGGAGCGTGCCGCATAGAAAACATCGTATTTCTATTGTTGCATGCACGTATGTTGCGGACGTTACCTAGCAACAACCGATATTTATAGATTCACTGTTTAGCAACGGGTCTATACGCCACAATAATTTTGACTTTGATTTAGTCGGAGGTACGATTCGATGGTTAGTAGTCTTGAGCTCCATTGTCAACAGCCGTTACCTCTCAGTGACCAATGAGCAAACAGAAAATTTGATGTGTGTTATAGTGATCTGTAGACAGAAAATCAGTGAGACTGTTACAGTTACTTCTAGTTACGGGTTAGAAGCGTTCAGTAAACACATTCATCAATCCGAACCCCATGTTTAGTCATTAACGTGTGAAAACATTAAACTTTTAAGCTCCGGCCAACTTGAAAGAAAGTTACTTCCGACTTCCACTGGCTAAAAGACTTGAGAGTTCAGTCATGTGACCGTGAATTTACTTGTCAGAAAGTCTATGTAAATTATTAAACCACGACCGCTCTCTTCCGTCCCTCTTAACCCATTGCAATAAATGTCATCTCATTAGTCATAAAGTAACCACTGCAGTTGATATATGGTTGTGCATGAATGGAATTTCAGTGAAATTAGGAACACATGTAAGCGAGGTGGTTACGGATATCGATCTAGAGACCTTCTGAGTATGAGGCAGACTCTTTATTCTTGGCATAGCCTCGCTACTTGGCCACGTGCGGGAAACAGGATTGTTCCTGGCAAGTGTGAAGTACTGTGTCGCTTAAACAGTAGTCCGCAGCCCGAAATTGACCTGCGGAAACATGTCTCTGTTTACACAGTTATGATGAAGAATACAGGAAAAGCATTGTATCCTATGAAACGAAATGAAGATCATCCATTTCTAAGTACATAGCGAGCTGACTGAGCAACTGACTAACTTATCAACTAATTTTATTCCTTGGAACAGAGCCGTTCTAAGGACCCGCCAGTTCAGCATCCACTCAGGACCTTCCCAGCATTTTATGGAACCCGAAGGTTCATTACCGTGTTCACAAGAGCCCTCCAGAAGTCCCTATCCTGAGTTAGATCAATCTAATCCATACCATCCCATTCTATCTCTATAAGATCCATTTTAATATTGTCCAAATACCTACATCATGGTCTTCCTAGAGGTCTCTTTCCTTTTAAACTTCCCACCAGTATCCTATATGCATTCATCTTCTTCCCCTTTCGTGCTACATGCCATTCCCATCTCATCCTCCTTGACTTGATCATTCTAATTATACTTGGAGAAGAGTACAAGTTATGAAGCTCCTCATTATGCAGTTTTCTCCAACCTCCTGTCACTTCATCTCTCTTCGGTCCAAATATTTTCCTCAACACCCTGTTCTCAAAGACCCTCAGTCTATGTTCCTCCTTTAATGTCAGAGACCAAGTTTCACACCCAAACAGAACCACAGGCTAAATTATTGTTTTGTGTATTCTAATTTTTATGTTTTTGGACAGCAGACGAGAAGACAAAAGATTCTGGACCGAATGGTAGCAAGCATTACCCGAGTTCAATCACCTCTTAATGCCCTTCTTGATATACTGATAATAATTTATCATGCCCGTAAATCCTCCCACTTTTTGGAAGCCGGTCTTCTTCTTCTTCTTCCTATGTCTTGTCTACCGATGAATTATATATAGGTATTTATTTTCAAAGAATGGAACAGATTCTCATTCCGTCACGCACACACACATATACATATATATATACATATATAGCGGAGATAAATTTTCCACTTGTTTATATATTCTGTAATGTATTTATATAAAAGAAAATACTCGTTTCGTATAACTTCATTTCTTAACAGATCTGCCGCAATACAACTTTGACCTTTACAAGGTGCACCAATAATATTTTATTCTAACCATCATTAGAGCTATATTACATTCTTGACCAATTCCAATCCTAAGATGCCAATCTATAAGACTTAAATATTCTTTCAATTCTGCCCCTATTAGTATTTTCATTGTCGTAATATGACTTGCATAGAATTGCTTCAGAAATAAGCGTGGGCCTCGTGGTCGCAAAGCCCAGCTCTTGACATGCGAAGACGCAGTAACAGGATGTAACATTTGAAGCCCTGAATATCGCTACTTTCCTTATGTTAGTTATGAGAGCTGTAACCGTCCATTTTGTGGAGGCTTGTAGAGGCAAGGAGATGGTTCGCGTCACGGACTTGCAGTCACGGATGCTAACAACCCCTCCCCCCACACTCCGTAAGAAAGTAGCCACGTGTCAACAAACATGGCTGCAACCCTGTGGA